TGTTTTATCATTATGATGATAAAATTGAATCGTCGTTTTGTAAATCTCAGCCGTCAGATCATTGATTCTGCCAATATTGTCTGTCTTTTCAATCAAATTATTAATTTTTTTCTTCATAGACATAGTTGATGAAGACGTGTCTGTGAGTTTTTCATTGAAAATTGACAAAAACTTTTTATAAATATCTATCAAGCCCAAACCAACCTCTGATGTATTGTTTATACTATAATTCACAGCCTCTTCAAACCGATTTATAGCTGAAGAGTAATCTCCGCTCATTTCAATAACATTTCCAATACCATAAAGACATCGAAGGATAACATACGGATTAATTTCCATCTCAAATTGAAGAACTTCATGATAATATAACAATGTATGATCGAAAGAATTATACTTCAAATGATGATCAGTCAACTCAATGTAAGCATACAACACATTGTGTTTTTGATACTTGTCTAACAATGTCGACATAGTTTTATCATCAAGAAACTTTCGATTATTATTAGATTAAACTACGCAGATTACCGTTATCTTTAGTATGTCTTAGTATTTTGACGAATCATTCCACTTTACCAGTTAAATTGCGCTCATAATAATCGTTACAAATTTTCTCATAAGTATCCGCTGCCAAAGATCATTATTCAGATGTTTTATAGAGCACCACCATATTCAGAAAGATTCTGTTGCAATAATAAAAGTATTTGTCCTCTTTTATGAATGAATTGAATTTAGATTTGTACACAGACATGTCCCAAAAAGAATATTCTTTTTTTATGATAAAACAATTAATTTGATTTGTTTTCAAAGCTTTTTTTTTATAAAAATTCAACGCTTTGTCATAGTCTAACATCTCTCTATAAACGTTTGCCATTATACAATAAATATTTCCTCTCATTTCGCGTGTCTTACCAAGAGTTTCATCATCGATTATTTTCATAGGATAGTTGAATTTTTCTAATGCTAGGAAATAATTTTTTTTATAATATTCAATTAAACCTAATCCAATATGACACGAAACAATCCATAGTAGTGAATTTGATTTCTTTAACAATATTTCATAATAGTTCTGCACACATTGAAAATTATCATCTTCAACAAGTAAATAAAAACCAATAGTAATTATATCAATGTAGAATGGTCTGTTGAGATCATTCAATTTTTCTTCTACATACTGTTCTACTAATTCTATTGTTCATAGATTGATATCTTCATCAAACGAAATTTGATCTATTCGGAAGTATGAACCAACTGCAAATAAAGCTTCTTGTTCGGCATTGGCAAAATGACTAAATTCTGATATGTCACCGAATATTAATCGCTTATAATTAAATTCGTTAGGGTAGATGACAAATAAAACTGATTGAGGTTCATTAAACGATGAACGAGAACTCGATGCATACGTAAAGATATTTAACGCTATTTCACGATTGCATGTTGTCGATAAAAAAAAACTGGCACTACAAATATGTTGGTTTCTTTTCAGAGTTTCAATTTCACTTTTATGCATTAGTTGATCACGATAATAGACAGCATATCTGCTGAAATATTCCTATCAGCATATAGACTAGAAAGTTGTCGATATAAATCAGCAATAAAAAATCGAAATAAAAACAAGATTTCAACATTAAATAATGGAAAAGCTTTGTTGAGTATACGATAAACACAACTATCTCCTGTATATCAATCTATTACGGTTGAAGATAAATATTCACATGCAAATTTTCGAACATCTTCTAATTGTTTTGGCTCATTGGGTGTGGGTAAGATTTTAAAAGATCAATTATTGGTTGTCGATCATTATTTTCTTTGCTGATTTTAATCAGTAAATGAATGAATTGTAAATACCAAACAGTCTACGTTGATTAATCGAATTTCAAAAAAGATTCTCCATCATTTCTCCTTACTTTAAATATTTCATATAAATTATCTAATAGTACATCGGAGTTAGATACCACAGCTTTGATCAGAAATAATTCATAGACGATCAAGCATTGATATCTCTCAGTACTGTACCTTTTTATAGTCCTTTGTTCAGTGACATATAGTGTTCATCGGATTATAAATATAAATTTGATACAGTTGTTCTAGATCATACGTATCTTTCATGACTGCCTCACATAATTCGATAGAAGCGATAAGTATAATAAAATCGGAGTTATTTTGTACAATATAGCCCTTAACATCCTCTTGACTATCAAATATTGTTATATAATCAACTAATTTTTTCAGTTTAATTTGAAATTCAACAAACGATACCAACTCTTGACTGCAAATCACCACTGAATATATGTCAAGATTTCTAGTTCGTCTTAATGATGATTGTTTACCATTTATTGATAAATTTTGATCGATGCTCTGCATTCTGAATCTAAAAAAGACGTTGCCTACGAATTTCTAACAGCTATACTATATCAAAAGAAATATTGCAGTTTTATTATAACGCGTACAAACATGAACGAAATTCAAAACAGAGCCTAATGAAACATTCGGATCTTGCCAACCTAGTTACATTATGATTGAAATAACAAAGAGAGTTTCACTCTCTGTTGGCAGAAAGACAAAGAAATATGCTCACACTTCGACGAAACTCACTAACTTATAAACATAAAATGTGCCATTAAAATTATAGAATAGACATTATGTTTGACAGCGTGAAACTCATGCAATTCATGCCTGTTCTTTTTTTATTTTTCAAGTTATTTGACTAACCAATATAAATTCATTGAATATTTTCAATATTCATAAAGAAATTCAATTATGTTCCGTACTATGCTAGTGTATGGCGAAGCTATCGAGGGTACTAAAATGATTGCAACATTGCTTATTTTGCATAATACCTTGACTTTTTTCAAGATATGCATTATTTGAAAGATATCCTTTTTGTTTGTTCTAATAACTTTTTATAAGATCAAAAGCGAATACTCATGGGATAGTGAAATGTAACACGATTAAAATAGTAGCAAAAATGTTGCAGTATTTTAAGAAGAATGTTGTTTCTTATTCGAAGCGAAAACATTGACAAGGTGGCATATCTTTATGAAGTTATGATGAAGTGCTACTAATCATTTTCCAAACATATAAGCCAAGTCTATTTTTTCTGCATGACTTCATGATTTTTGTTTTCAAAATATCTTGTGGATGGATGCTTGTAGACAATGTCTTCTGCCTTCCACACTTCTTATGGTTGAACTTTTATCATTTATTTTCAAAGCAATATCTAGTGGTTAAAGCTTTATTTATATTCGAACTCGAATTAGACAACCTATCTAATAATATGCTAATTAAATTATGATTTCTATTATTTTTCTCTTGACGATTTGAAGACTATTATAAAAAAAATTTACTTTTTTCTTCTGAAATCGCTTGAAAAAAGTATTCTCGTAGAATTTCCATAGCTAAGATCATCTCTTTCATTTGAAACAAGAATCAATTTTCGAATAGATTAGTAAATGACCTTTTCTCTTCAATCTATTTGCGTTTATTAACAATCGATTATGGTATTCAAAATGTCTTTTTCTTTGTGTAGCACCTTTCTTCATCAATCTATTCTTTTTTTTTTCCTTATTATTATCAGAGCTAACCGTTAACACAGTGTCAGTCACTCTCGACTAACACTTTAGCATATATATCTGGAAACAGTTTGCTGCGTATAAGTATATGGGTGTGGATGTTATACGTGAATGTGGATTTTATGTCGAGAAAACTGAAGGCGAACAATTGTTGTTTGAGAACCTCATTGTAACTTTGCTGTTTTGTTGCTGATTTAATGTGAGATAAATTTGCAAGAATCATTACTGTTGAAATAATATTAATGATGAATGGTACTTTATAATGCCAGAGATGAATAATCGTATGGTACAATCTGACACTATTGTTCTCAAATCGAACTATACATCAACACTGCCAAACTTGATATAGAGGAGAACTATAAGTTAGACTTAAACAATTGCACACAATCAAAAATGAAAGGATATTCATGGCAGTTTTTGTACATTTTTTTATCAGAATGAATGCCACTCTGAATGGGTCAGACGCGTTCCAAAAGGACGCAAGTATTAATTCAGACGATCATCGTCGACAAACATGTGAGAAAATACTCAATGGAGATACAATAGAGTCCACTCGATGATTCTGATACACATTCAAACTCTATCCTAAACTATAAGATGTGTTTGTCATAGTGACTTGAGTAACAGCCAATAATAACTTAGGGTATAATATGTAAATCATCCTTTGAATATATATGTAATAGACCGCTTTTTTAATGGTCTATGAATACTTTTTATTAACGAAAAAAATAATACTGAAGAAAAAGAAAACAATATTTGATTATGGTGAAATACATTCTTTTTCTTCGGAATCAAATATGTGTTGTTTCAAGGCATTGAATGGTCTTTCAAATATCTAAATAGAAGACAAATGTATTCAGTTTTTATCTAAGTTGGAAAGTGAATGTTCTACTTACTGAACGAACGGCCGCAACGTGTAATATATGTCGCGTTCATCTTCGAGCTTATTACGTATAATCTCATTGATCTTTATCCATTTACAGGACTTAAAAAAGAACAATAATAACCATTTAAATGTATTAATTTTCTTGTAAAAGTTAACAGGAAATTTATAATTACCTCATTTTCTTTCTTATCCTTTAAATCAAACTTCCATTTTTTTTCATCAACATACACAATAAAAAGACCAATGAGCCATAATCGATCACGAGTGCTTTATCTACTAGGTAAGCGGCATTGAAGGAACTTATCCTTGCTTAAAGAAAGAAAATGACCAATATTCTCCTTGGTTATTGTTATTACACTTTTCTTTCTTTTAAGCCAAATTGACAGTTCTTCAAATAATTCTCGCAGAGCTGTTTCGTATGAATTGTCACATGTATCGTCATCTTTGATTTTTGGATAACCTTCAGGATTATACATCAAGCACGTCTTTTGAAAACATAAAATCAGATGAGTTTCAGTGCTCCCAATATTCTCTGTCTATCTTTGTTAAATCCATCCTTTAACAGCACTCCAACTTCCATAATGATTTTTTACTGCCAACATCTAAACATATAATTCGTATAGTAGAGAAAAAATATTAATATTTCTGAATTTATGACATAGGAACTATTAAATTGACGATAAATCCGATTTTAGCTTCGGAAATAACAATTAAAAACCAATGATTTTTTTTTGTGAAAGATATAGATTTACCTCTTGTTTTTTATTGCAGAAAATAATACCAAATGATAAATCTTCTAATATCAATCGTGCTTCATTTACCAAGGCTGCTTGTGCACCAAATTCTTTGCGTACTACAAAGAGATCGCTTCAATAAACAAAAGAATTTTAGAATCGTACTACTTCATACAATACGATTTAAGTGCTGCCTTAAAATCTTTAAATATCTTTGACTGTATGTCATTTGTTACACATTTCTCATATTTTTTTTATCTATTTTTGCCCAAATCTTGTCGATTTCGTCTTGAATCTTTTGAATAATATTGCCTACTTCTTGTTCATTTCGACCAGAAAACAATCTTCAAAAAAAAGATCATACAATTATAAAAAGTGATGATCCAGTTATTTGCGTATTATCTACTAAAATTATACTCACTTGAGTATATCATTAGGCAAATGACCATTTTCAGACGGTTGCATTTTAACACATCTAACAAATAATATATGAGTATTGTTGAATTATATATAACAATAAAAAATTCTTAACTATGTTCAATGCATCATGAAACACAAAATGATAGTTTTCTACATGCATTAAAAAAGCTGAAACTCATTTTGTGATGAAATTTGTTTTACTAAACACGTCAAATCGATAATTTTTATAAATATTCCAAAAGCGTTGCTGCATTTTTTCTCCAACTAAATCACTTATGCTTTTTTTTCTACTTACTCAAATACATTAAAGCTGCTGGTAATAGTGCTATTTGCCTGGTCACTGAGACAGGAAAACCCGCTGGATAGATGCGGTGAGAAGTTATATCCTGATCAATAAGGATTGGTATTCGACTTAATTTCTGTTCAATATTTTCTGATTCTTGTCTATTGCGATCGATTAATGTTAGTTCTATTATATTATGACCGCTTGATTCTGGATCTTCTATATTTAGATCGATTGATGTTGAATCTTCTACATTTCGATCGGTTGATGTTAGATCTTCTATATTTCGATTGATTAATGTTGGATCTTCTTCATTTTGATCGATTGATGTTCGATCTTCTACATTATCATCGATTGGTGGTTGATAATTCACATATATTCGCTCGTTGATATTTGCGAAATCGTCTGTATCGTAACAAATATCTGGTATTTCAATTGAGTATTTATAATCACCATCTACTCTTTCATTGTTACTATTGAATGTTTCTACGTATGGTAATATAGTGGAACAATCTATCAAAGAAATGAAAATATGAAATATTAATTCATTTGAAATCATTGTTTGTTTGAATATTGAGAACTATTTTTTTCAATAGTTTTTATTAAATAATAATTTCAATACTTTGATTGGTACCAGTTGGATTTAGGTCATATTTTGTTTGATTGATACCATTTGAAAATTATTTTACAATATCATAAAACTAGTAGTATATATGAACTCAACATGAAATGATGATTTTGAATGATTTATCAATATCAGAGCAAAATAATTTTTCCCAAATTTGAACAAACAGTTATAGTACGCTCTTTAAAAAGTTGATTGAAAATTTATTATCCTTCTCTTATTCAATATTAGAGCAAAAAGAAAGACATATATTTAAACACTCACTGAATTAGCAAATAGAGGATACTTATATAAAAGCAGTAAAACAAAACACATTTACTTTTTTCATTTGACATATTTTAATATATTGATCTGCTTTTGGTTTACAATCTAAAAAGAAAGTAGTTTAAAATAACTCTATATCAACATAAATAAAGACGAAAAACTATAGTACGAATTAACGTTCAGAACATTTTGTATTTGTTTTTCTGAGTAATTAGGAGTGTCAGTTACGAGTTAACTATCTACACCTGAGGAACTAATCGTGACTTGTTACAAAATAGAAGCAAATATTATTAATGTTAAAAAAAAGATGACTGTCAATTGTTTTTACATAGTTTTTCCCACTTTTCACTGATCAATTATATACTGCATAGAATTGAATTATAGAATTTTTAATTTGACTTTTAATTAGTACTTAATTATGTATTTATTTAATTTATTAGTAGAAAACGTTTCGCAGAACTGATGTCTCAGTCTTCTTTTCATTTAATCATGCATTAATACAAAAATTTTAAGTCTTTTTATTATTTACATGCATGGCTCCTTTTAATTTTACTATTTTTGCTTTTCTCTAGTAGGTAGAACAAAAAATAAAAAATGTATATTTAATCGTTCAGTATTACTGTCATGTTATGCTGCTCTACTATTTGAAAAAAAGAAAAAAATAAGTCGAGATTCCAAAAGTAAAAATATAAAAGTAAATCTATATCAATTTATGATTGAATGAATTAATGAAGGAGAGAACAGCTCTTCAAAATATTCTGAAAGACTTAATTGGGTGAAATAAATATATATTACCTAAAACTTGAATCATAAATTTCTATAATTTAATTGGTTTTAGTATATAATTAATGAATCAGAAGACAAACAATTATTTATAAAAAAAAATAGAAAACAAGATATACTTGAACATTCTAGCATGTTCAAAAACGGTTCGTCAAATGTGTACGTATTCCATAGGAGCGAAACCATGAAGAACGTGATTCTAACATTTATATTTGTAAATAATCACATAGATTCATACTTCAATAATGTTATTTGTTTTTTCTTTTTGCTGCTTGTAGGAAGAACGTAGCACAAAACAAAAAGTTGAATATTTCGGTGAAAGCAAACGTAGTGGATGTATCAAATTTAAGAAGTAGATGAAGTATTTTTTTTTGGATTGAAATGAATCATTGGTGAGAATTCTCATTTAATAACATCAAAATGAATAGATTGCTGTAAATATGTCATAGAATTTTGTAAAAACAAAAACAAAAACAGCTAATACCATTATGATAACATCACGAAACGTGAAGGGTTTTCTAATGTTCTATTTTAAAATTTGAATACTCTATCAAACTGTAATAAGAAAAAAATTGAAAAAACTAAAACTGAAATGGAGAAAAATCTTTATTAACTAAAATAATTAGTTTAATGTAATTGAATGAATTTTTTTCATAGAAATGATAAACACCTAACAATACTCGGTCTTTATTTTTATCCTCTAAAGAATTTTGCAAGTTTACTGAAATGTTTTTTTTTCAAGTAATATTAATTCAGTAATCAAATCAATTGGAATCGGTTTGTTCTATTCAATTTTACAAATATCTAGCTTTTATTTTAAAAGCTTTCAATGTGATAAAAAAAATTTTTCTCTTTTGAAAATGACATTGAAATAAAAATTTATTTATCGCTTAAAAAGAAAAGTAAAACTCAAAAAGTCTTGTATAATCTAGGAAAAAAATTCTAATTTTTCAAAAGAGTCAGAATTCAAATTTACTTCAAAATTAAAAAGAAACACATTCGAATATATTTCTGAAAGAATCACCAATGTATTTTAAATTGAAAAGTTTACTTTAAAAAAAAAAAACATCTAAAATAATGCAAAAAATATAGATTACAACTCATTGTAAAAGAAAACCAAAGGAGAAAAAAGAAACCTAATATTGCTCGTTTGTTTATAAGAAAATTTTTTTTTTATGGCAACAATATATTTGTTTTTTAATATGCATGAAAAAAAAATCGTAGAAAATAAAGTTTTACAGGTGAATGAAATAAGATGATTGTGCATGTGTTTGAATGATGGAAAAGAACAAAAATATGAATCAAATATCCTAATAATATACTCAAAGACAGTGATAATAGTCCTGATGATTAAGAAAAGTTCAATGAAGCTAACGAATATCATTATCGTACATTTTCGAAGAATTTTATTCATCTAATTATGTGTATATTTCTAATAGTTTGAATAATATTACTACTTGTTATAACGAGCTAAAGATGATACATGAATATTAACAGTGTGTATTAACTGCAAAAAAAAACTGAATTGATTAATTGAAGAATTAAACAATTAAATCTGATTTTGGATGTCAAAATTTAGTTTTTGTGTTCAGAACTCATCTAAAGTCTTTGGAAATTTTTGGTGTTTTTCCAGCAAAATTTCAGGACTTTTTGCTCATCCATTGTGAAAAAATTGCTCGATCATCTCAAATTCGATCAGTTTCAGCAAAAATTTTCTTCTGAATTTCGAAAGCTATAGAGCTCTCTCCAATTTTTCTGATCTTGTAACATTCTTATTTATGTTCAAATGTTTGCTTGTATTTTCGCATATTCGATATATGTTATTACATAGTATTGAAGAACTAGAGTTCTGAGTTCAATTTCTTTTTGTATATAATCAGCGAGATTGAAGAAAAACATTTAAATGATGAATAAGATTTTATTTTATACGTGAATCACTAAAATTAATCTTTTCAATAAAATTATTTTCTTTTACTTTATGATAAATATTGACAATTTGTGAAGATTGATTCTAATTGAAAAAAAACTTTTTTTTTTGTCATTCATAATGAAAAAGATTTGAGGATTAGATTCATTTTAACAAAATATTTATTAAAACTCTTTGTAAAAATCTAGAAACTATTCTTCAATGAAAATTAATTCTTATGTATCAAAGAAACTGCTTTGAAAAACTTAGTTAAATCTTTCGTCGATTTTGAAAATTTTTACTTTAACAGCAGCGAAAGGATATGTAATTGACAATATGAGAAAGAAAGACTATCGAAAATGACAAAATTTTAGTTTTGCAGAAAAACTACAAACAATTCTGTTAGGACTATCTTTATGATGGATTTCACGTAAAAATTAATATCAATATGCATTCTTCATTCATGGCTGCACGACAACAGTCATCTTTCAATGTAAGGGATCACAAAGATCAAGCAAATGTCGGACTATTCGAACAGTATTATGACAAATAAAAACTCATCGGTTGCTTCACCGATATTCAATCGGTAAGAACATGTTGCAAGCTGAAAATAAATTTGAAATTGTTGAGTAATCGTCACACTTCTCTCTCCAGAAACTTTGATATGTAGAATTGTCGCTTTTTCTTCATACAGATTGTTTAATTTAAAAAACTAAAATGATCAACAAAGTATGTAACTTTTTTGTATCCATCGTGGCTGATTTTCAGCTGCGACCATATTAAAAAGGCAGTTTACAGTATTTCTACCTTTTTGTATACTGATGCTGTAAGAATTTGTTGGAATCATGTATTTTGAAGATCTGGTCAGTTCTTATTCAGTAAGGACCATCCGATGAATAATAGACAGGATATTACGAAGGTTTAATTCCTGTTAATCTTATATTATAGATCGATAATATATTTCATCGTAGTTTATTATTCAAAACTCATTCTACTTCATTCGTATTTTCCACAATAGTGGTACGATTATTCTTTTCGTTCTAAAGAAAAATATAAGTGAAATACGATAATATTTCAAAAGAACAAACAGAACACCTGATTGACCTTGAATGTAGGATTCATATGAATTGCACATTAAATCTGACCTCTCATGAAAAATAATCGTAAAATTAGAGGAAATTTTAAAAAGAAGAATATAACGGAATGACGTAGGTATAAGTTCAGACAGAATGTACATTCATTCAATTTGCCAAAAAATTTGAATATTTTCTGAATAAAAATTTCGATCTGAGCTTACCACTTTGTGAACTGATTCTTGGTTTTAAATATAGTGGTAATTTGATTAGAATGTTCATAAATTCTATTCAAAAGTCTTAAAAGTTTTTTCCATTCAGGCATTGAAATTTTCTTCGTTTATTACAGTAAGTAGTAACTAAAGGTACTACTTTAACTTTCTTTCAAAGTTTTTTTTTTGTAAAAGAATTAGTCTTTTTCTCCTAAAAAGATTTCAATGAAAAATAAGATCTTTCAGAAGAATAATGTTCATGAAGAAAATACTTTTTTTTTTACAAAACAAAACTTTCATGGAAGAATTCACTTGAATTTTATTTGTTTTTAAAGGTAAAATTTAAATTATTTTGCTTTAACTTTACCTTCTTTAATTAAAGTAGTTTTAAAGATTAATCATCGTCCAGAATCATCAGTTTTTATATTATCAAATTGATCTTTGATGAAACACCAATTGAAGATCGCTCATAATTATTAAACCCGTATTTAAATCTTGTGAAAACAATACTTGATAAGGTTACAAAGCTCACTTATAATATCTATGCAGTGCCATGCAATCGAAATATCATGTCGGCTAGCAACCAGATTGAGTTTCAAAATTGTTAGAATAACATTCAAAATAAGAGACCCTTATTTTCCTAAATTAAGTCCTTACCTTCAACAATATGTCTGCTTCCATATTTTTCATCGATAAAAGATTCCAAAACATTTAAAAGTACACTTTTTTTGTAGAAAATTGTTGAGCTCTATCCGATGATATAAAACTCAAAAAAACAAGTTTCTATTTTCAATACCTCACATTAGCTCAAATTTTTGAATTAGACTCCTATAGTTCTCAGCAGTATATATTAAAATTTTGTCTGACCTTATTGACCATTTTGAGACATTCGTCTTCTGGCTCATTTCCGTACACGATGGAAAGCGATTATAAGATTACGAAAAATGCCGATTGGAAAAATAACATGTTTAATGTAAAGTGAAATAACTTGATTTGGAGAATAGTTGACAGGAAAAGAGGACATTTAATGATCAAGATGTAGATGAAGTCGCTGTCGTCGATCGAATATAGAAGATGTGATGAGTGAAGTAAGATTAGAGAAAGATTGAAGAATTTATTTTGTATTGAAGTGTTCGAAAAGATTAAGAATCAGCTCGCCTGAGAGACACATTCAAACGTGAAACAAAAATCTTTATTGTATAAATTCAGATGACATACTGATATATAGAAAAGACGAGTGGAAAGTCTTACTTTATTCATAATTTGTCTTGAGTCGTTTTGTTGGGCGATAATCAATACTGTTTTCTATGTTTTCGAAATCAAATACAGCTATGATATGAAAACAATTGTGATTCAAAGAATGAAAAGCTGCGTATCTCATTTCATATTCATTCAGTGACCTAAAGCAATGGACGACCGGCGACGAATGATACACGTATTTTCTCTTCTGTATTGAATGATGAATTTTTTTGTTTAACTAATAGCAAAATAGAATCAAGGTTATGAGAATGAAAGTTAAAGGTTGTAGCCACTTATTCGAACAACTATGATTTGAGAAATGTAAAAAATAAAACCAAAGGAACAAGACGAATGTGCGTCAATCAGCGTTCAAAAAACGAAAAGAAAATTGTTGTTTACAAATTTTGAAACTATTCTTACAAAAAAATTGTTGAAACAAAGATCATAATGGATATCTATCATGCATATCCGAAAGAAAGAAAAAGAATTTTCTATCATTGACTTAAACAATTTGTTCATCAAATTTTGTTTTTCTATTGTGTAAAACTACATCGACAAGATGCTAATGCCAATCACATCGGCTGTTTTTATTCAGGAGATCAGTTTGATTATTCACAGCTTGTTTGATTAATCAGGCTTTTGGCCAAAGATCCTCTTGTAACACTCAAGGCTTAGAACAAATTCGTTCTGTTAACTCAACTCGATATGTTATGTATCTTATCCTTATGTTGGAGAGCATAGTTTTGTCAATCTGTTTCTTAATTATTCGAGACTGCATTAATGATCGGATATGCAGACCCATCGTAGATTGTTTGAAAGCAAAGACTTTGTTATTTCAAGAATGTGTTGGCAGTTGTGAGAGTAAATTAAGATTTTATCTGCAACCACACTGACACCACCCCACACCCACACCCACACCCCTACTTCATTCGAACTTAATTTTGATATAGCACAAGTTACTCTCCTTTTAGATATCGAGGCTCTAGTATGACTGAGATTAAGGATGCTATGAGCAGATGACTATGACAGTTTAAATCTCGCTATGACAAAATACGGTAGGCAGTGTAATGTGAGTTTTCTTATTTTTGGACTGATTAAGATCGATGTTTTCTATTATCATTTAGTCTAGGAAATTGACAAAAATGTATTATTATCGAAAAAGTGAATGTCATGAAAGTGTATTATAAGTTTGCACTCCTAATCAAACAATAGATCGTTTTTCGATAATAAAGTCGCGATATGACTATAATTCGTTTCACTTGAGAGATCAATAAAAATGCTCAACTTCTGAAAATATTATGTGAAGCGTGGCTTGTTTTTTGACGCACAGCATCAAATACTACGATATATTTGAAAATCAACAACTCCGATGAGCTTATCAAAGCGGTCTACTTTGGATAAGATGGGAACAATTACAAGAATTATCAACTTTATAAGACTCCAGAGCAGACTAAGCTTTGTTAAAATGAATTTTCTATTGTTACTTGGCTTGATGCCAATTTTTGTAAGAAAGATTATTGTTTGAAACATAAAGCTCGTACTCGTTCATACGTTAAATCTGTAAAGTTCTTCGTAAATGCTAATGAATGTATTGATTACATTTGCAAATCATTAAAATACGAAAATATTTGTTATTGTAATAGAGAATGTTAGAATATCGGACTCTATCGGTACAATGTTTGATTTTTCAAACGTGCAAAACCATTTATTCTACGAAAGTTATATTATCAAATGAAATTTCACTGAAAGAATAACTCAAAAAAAGGAATATATTCGAAAATTGAACAGACTCTTTTGAATGCATTGATATAGGAAAATATCTTTGTATAACTAACACTTTCAAAATTTTATTCGTTTTGCTATTCCTTTACGTAAAAGCTACTACCTGATGCAAATATTCGCTATATCCAATAATAGTTTATGCTGATTTGTCAAAAGAATATTAAGTTGAAGAAAAATACCATTGTTGTAGTAAAAAACTTCTCTATTGGAAAAGAAACGAAAATCAAGTTCTTGTTTAGGCATCCAGAAAAGACAATAAACAGGCTTGTTTAATGTGCCTTCGGAATATTATCGGGTATTTTAAATTCTAATTATGAAGAATATACTTACACAAATATTAAAATCAGATTAATGAGTATCGTTGATAGTAGATTAACATTTGACAATATCAATCAGTGTATCGATTATATAATAATGTTTGACGTGCCCATGCATACCAATTAATGACAATGCTAAAAAATCAAATCATGTTCGGGTCATCTCGATAAATGCCATACTTATTTAATATTGGGTCAAGTTTAAAAAAAAAACATACAAAATTGTCATAATCTTAGTCTATTATGTTGATATGCAACCAAAAGCAATGACCATATCGATAATCAAGAAGAAGCGAATTCATTTGATTTTGTTGGTCATACTAACTATATATCAATGTTTTTAATGTTCAAAAAAAACTATTTAGTTATTGATATTATTCGAAAAAGTTCTTTCTCATTCGTAGAAACTGACAAAGAATATCTAGAAACTAAACTATGCTAGATAACATAATTACATGATGTAGAATAATATTACAATAAAATTTTGAACGATAGTGCTAACATAAAGAAGTGTGAAAACTGTTTCAATATTTTCTATTCTACATAGAACAAGCTACATTTAATTACAATTCATGATAGATTACTAACGAAATACTCAAAAGTATAATAATCAAATACACTATAGTTGTTCTTTCAAACGACTATGTGATTGCAGCGTCGACAATGGATAATAAGTTTAACTTCATTCCATTTTATTTCAACGAAATTTCTTTAAAAGTATGCACTTCGATCAATATTAAGTTTATCAACACGACTACTGTTGTGATACATTTAGTCGTCTTCTTTCCTTGTTTGAACGTCATCATTGATTAAATGAAACCTATCCTCCACATTAGAGGACTTCGGATCTTCTATGATGCTCAAGCTCACAAAAGTTTTAGGAAGTTCTTCTGTTTTACCTCTAAAATTTTTAATTAAACAGGTTTTTCAGAATACCAAAACGATTTTGACAGTTTGGAAAGATTTTTTAGGTCGATTCAAATATACTAATTCAATTTTCGGCTTTTCAAGAAACTTTTTCAGTAAGGAGGCTGGGATTTGCATGAACGCCTGATAGAAATATAATAGAGAACAGAATAGATTTTTCATAAACATATCTTGCCGATATTTTTCTTTTCTCCATTACTTCAGTTTGGTTTTCCACAGACAATCACTAATGTATTATTCTTCATATATTTACTTCAACTTGATATTAATTCTATAGATATAATTCTTTCGTGAGAATGAGAATGATAAATGAACTGCAGAACATCGAGATGCTATTCAAGCAGCAAATATCTCTAAAACTGAAAAATTCGTCCAAGCATCAGTTTTCAAATATACAATCATTTGTAAAGACGTCTATTGTATGATCCCCATTGAAAGAAATACTTGGTAAAGCAACACTTGAGTTATTATTTAATCTATTGATTGTCAAATTCAAATGATTCTATAAACTGATTCGAAAACTTATACAATCAAACAAACAGTTGAATTAATATTAGAAATTTCGAATCATAAGATTAATCTTTGAATTGGTTCGTTGTAAGAGTGTGTGTGTAGACCTTTTCTTCATCTTTACTCACACAACCATACCAACACTCTTAAGCCCACACCCGTTCGGCTCAGTTTTTGTCAATTATTATTTAAACAAGTTATAGTGACCAAGAATTGCCGTTGTTTTACAAAATAACATGTGGATAGGTTGCAAAATATTCTTTCTTGGTTACAAACTAATCTAGTGAAAAACTTAATGAAATATTGTTTTGAAAAATTTATTAATAAAAATTTCGGGTGGAAAAAGCTGTATTAAATAATTGCTTTGTAACTTTGTTGTTACGGTATGAATGTCATTTTGGTGAGAGATTATCATCAATAGCAAGATGTAAAGCATAATGAGCAAGTAAACGAGTTGTATCAATAACAGGTTTGCCAAGATTTTTTTCATTATATACAACAGGTAACTCTGTACATCCAAGAATCACTGCATCACAATCATATTTTTTAATATCCTGTTGAATATCTTCTACTGTAGTTGAATTTATTTGTGATAGGATAATTTCATTTCTTATTAAATGTTCAATTTTATCACATACATCATCTGTAGGAATTATTGGAGTGATTTTCTTCGATTGTAAAACTTCATTGTATAATCCGTCTTGCATTGTAAGTTTAATTCCAAGGACTAATACTTTGGAGAAACCTTTTCTATGACATTCATCAGCCACAATTTTGATTAAATTAACAACTTTCAATGGTGAATTCTTTTCAATAAGATCAATAGAGAAATGAGGAGCATTTGATGGAATAATGACAAAATCAGCACCAATTTTCTCCAGTAGTCTAATAGAATCGCATATTTTGTTGGCCAAACTAATCCAATCTTTTCTAGAGATGAAATCATTATATTGATCAAAGGAAAAAGCATGCATTGTAAATTCTGGATGTTTTCCTGTTGGATCGATCTTTGCTGCTTGTGCAACAATTTCATTTGCACATAAACATGCACCGACTGTAGTAATATCGACGATTCCTATGTGTTTCATACGTTGTAAACTGGAAATAATTCCTGATTGACGAATACTTGATTTAACAGACATGACGCATATCTTAAAATGACAAATTAAAAAAGTTATACATAATATTTCAATATGGTTGTAGATCAAAAAAATAGTTTTCAAAACATTTCATACTTTCAAGAAATGTGAAGAGTATAAGAGTAAAAAAGAGACTTTCTATAGACATTGTAGAGATTGACATCACCAGATTAGTAAGCAGTCGGGAAGATTATATATGATCGCACTTCTTAATAGTTTTGTTTCTCATTTCTCACACGAAAAGATAGAGAATCGCACTCAAATAATGCTAAAGTTTTCTTTTCAATTTCAAGAACAAGATGAAATCTAATACTCAAATATGTGTCTGAGTAGAAATTAAAATTCAGTAGAATTTTAAATTCTACTAAACTTATACTATAGAAGTATGCGAATTTCTTCTAGAATAGAAAATAAAATTAATACTTATTTTAATTATGCAATATGTCAAACGAAAAGAAAAAAAAAGATTTTGGATATTTAATTTGAACTTCTCGCGTCAGTATCAAAAGAAAAAACACTTCAATATGATATAAAATAGAACTATTTTATTCGAAATTTGATAAACATATAGAATCTTTAGGGAAAGATTTCTTTCAAAGTGTTTATCACACAAGTTGGTTACAATGGCATCATATTATTAATAAAAGATGGTTAGAGTGAAGCTCAGTTTAAATTCTAAATCAATAAACACGTTAAATTAGTTACTATTGGCGAATTACAAGTTGATTTTGGCATTAAATCAAATAATCTAGTGATTACATACAGATTAATTTTATTTTCTATTCTAGAACAAATTCGCATACTTTTATAGTATAAGTTTCTAGTAGAATTTAAAATTGTCCTGTAGTAGAAATTAAAATTTTAACTTCTACTAGTGCAACTTAAAATCGCCTGTTATTTTGATTTCTCCTGGTAGAAATTGAAATTTTAATCTCTACTAGTAGAATTTTAATTTCTACTCCGACATATGTTGTAATTTTTTTTTCTTGGTCTCGATTTAGGTCAAGAGTGGAACAAAAATATTCAGGCTAAAAATTCGATAGTAAACAAAATATTTATGACCAATCGGATATCTGGAAACACTTCTATTGGTTGATCTTGTTTATTCAATAAAAGCATAAACGACAAAAGAACGAAAGAGGGCGTAGACTGTTGTGTTATAGATAGACGAAAAGTAATTATTACAAAGAGACAATCCAAGCGTATACCTATCGACTTAAGTTTATTCTAATTAAAAAATGTTGTTTTTCACCGCCATTTACTAGATTTTTTTACTATGTACAATGGCTTATGCTCGATTACCTCTATTAATGATTTCATTATTCGTGAATGGAGTTATTTAACTTGACGCTATGGTGTATGAGAAGGAGGAAAGAGCGATTTATGATTTTGTGAGTTAAAATGGATTTGTGTAATTTAAAGGATGTAAATGACTCTTATTCGTAAATTTGAACTTTTAGAGTTATTTGCAATTGTTACCTTTCATTCTACAAACAGTTGAAGTCTAGAATGTTTTTAGTAATTTTATTCAGACTGTTGATAACTTCAAGGCTAGAGCAGTGAATCAGTACACAAGAGAGGAATGCAAATAAATATCATAAGTAGATGACTTTGTGTATGATGAACACTTCTAGATCAACATATACGACAGCGATTGTTCAGGAATACCTCAATTTTGTTTTCCTTTTAAAGCCACAATAGTACATCGGACACACTATGATATCTTTATCAGATATAATCCATATGTAGAGCTAGTAAGCATCAACCTTTTGTATCCTATGTTGTGATAGAAACGACGCTTCTCAAGTATTTCCTTGACATCATACAATTTAAGATATTTTGTTTCGACTTTGTTCTCTTAATTCAATTCTGATTTTGACCATTGGAAATAAAATGAAGTATTAGTCAAAGAGTTTTATCCCCAAGTACTTTGTTTGACATCTGGACAAAGATGTTACTTGACCTTTTGACCAATAGAAGACTTCATCAAGTTAAGATTAGGCAAATGGCATACAACACGTGCAATTAGTCCTAATTTTTCTCATAGTCATTGTTAATAAGTTTTAAAACTTTGTCAGTCTAATGCTACTCTTGAAATCAATTTCGCTTTGAATATCTGCATTGTAAATCTTCAAGAATTTGAAAAAGTCATGAAAAAACATCTCTGTAAGAATTGAATTATGGAAACAACGTCCAGACAAAATATTTTGAATTATATTTACTTTAGAAAGTAATTAAGAGGCGTCCCTTCTATTACAACATAGTACTTAAAATGAAGGTATCTATTGGATGTACAAATACACTACAGCTGGTATAAAAAAAATCATTTTACTTCGATGTGTATTTGAGATTTTAGAAAGAAAATAGAATTGGGATATCTCTGAGTAACCATTCCCATTCATACATAATATTTACATATTTCGTATTTTGTACTAAAAATATTATTGTCAATGTTTAGTATCTAATAATCGTATAGATTCTTCGTATTTAAAAACTAATACAAATTACGTAAATATCGATGATATATAGTTTTGAATGATATAATGATCTTCGGTTTAAAAAAAAAGTGGTAAATGATTATAAAGAAATAATAAATTGATTGAAATTATTTTTTTTTAATATAAGTATTGTCTATTTTTGTAATGTATAACCATCTTGATGATATCTGACGTATTCATGAATATAAAACAACGAATATAGCAAGTTTTATGAGTCAACACTCAGAAAAATATAGTACGATTAAATAAGATAAAAATCATTAATTTATATAAAATTATTTATCTATTATCTGAAATCATAAAATAAATTCGATCACCATGTATGAATACGAAAGTATTCGAAATATATCATTCCGTAGACGAGCATTGATTAAAAATTTCTTTTTTTTACTGCTATAGATCAAAGTTAGGGGAACCAAAAGGAGAAAATAATGATCTTCTGATCATAAAACAAATCCATTATGTATTTTCCACAACTTACTTTTAAAATCATTAACTATATCATCAGTCGAAATAAAATTATGTAATCAAACTGAAGCATCGTCTATATTTGACGTTAATGGATCAGAAGTATTCAGCTATAGTAAAAAAGAACATATCTTTGAATTATTTATATACTGAGTACATATATCGTAGTTGGAATAGCAATATCAAAACACTTGAAGAACTACTTTTATCTCTCCTTGTCAGAAACCAAAGTCAAAAAATCTTTGTGTTCAGACGTATTTGACTGACTTGAGTTTTCTTTGGACGAAAAAACGAGAAATTGTCATAAATCATTGAGATTTTGTTGAACAGTTTGCAGATGAAAGTGTTTTAGACTGTCTCGTGAAAGCTTGGAAGTGTTTTGGGGAAGTTACATAAATTGTCAGGCTACATGGAGAATATACATGAAAATGATTCAAGCAGAGAACGAAAAAAAATAATTGACGATAAATGTTTATTTTTCTCTTTCCAGAAGATCAATCTGAATGATTTAAATTGAAAAATTTACATCTTCAGCAATAGGCCAGCTAACAGCTTATAGTTTTCATATGGCAATCCATTTTAGAACAGTTAAAGTAAACACTATCAGCACGTATATGTCTGATTAAAAATCTCTTTATTAGAGGGGCGTTATCTTTTAGTCTTATTCGAAATAGAAAGTAAGCATATGAAGAGACATGAAGAACACAACCAAAATACAATCATACATAGGTCAATCACTGTTCATGTGAACACATGTCAACAAATTTTTCTTTCTGTTCCATAATAACAATGTTTGTTTTACTACCTCGTGAAAATAAAGATTTCTTCATGGTTTCAAACATTCTTCGTCTATTAATATTCAGGTAAAAGAATCGTTAAACGTCAGAAGCTTCTTTGTACATCTTTGCTATCTGTTTTCATAAATACTAATGTTAGGGCAATGAACGAAGCACAAATAAATAAAGAAAAAGAAAGACGGAATTCTTTAAATGGCATGACGATTTAGCGCATCACTTCTGTTCTCAAAGTAGAATTTATCATTTAATTGATTCACATTTGTAGACAATCATGAATGCAAAAGTGAGATAAAATTCTCTCAGGATCAAAGAGGTTTTTGAATCCTAAGAAAAGACTTTCGTGAAGGCTACCTTTTTATCTGCATGGATATTTAATAAGCATTCTTATATAATTTTAGTATGATCCATAGTACTATCTTATATCATGTATTACGTGCTTTTAAGAATCCCATTAACTATATTATGGACTATTCCGTTTATTTTTGAATTTGAATGAAAAAATCCACGTCAAAACTTATTGTTTGTTTCTCTCAGAACATGGTTTCTAATCAGAAAAAAAAGTGAACTAATTCCTAACAGCTTTTAACTATGAGCAATATTTTTTGTAATCGATTTTCATGTTAAGAAAAGTGAGATTTAATTAGTTTCATGCAGTGACTTTTGTTTGCATATTTACTAAAATAATAATACTAAAATCAACGAAAGAGAAGAGTTCCTAAATTCTGTCTTATGAAAAACTGCACACAGGTATTAGTTTGAAACCATTTCGTACTCTATAACTCTCACATGATGAAGTTATAACGATTCTTTTGAAAGCTCTAAGTCAGAAGTTCACTCTAGTTTGACATATCCGCCTGAAACATTTACCAGATGCGTTTTTCATAAGAATCACTGATTCCTGAAAATTTCAGACCATACAGATTCTCTCTCAGTTTTTTATTTTTATACAATGAAACATTTTATAAAATAAATTAATAATCATAATACTTATCAGCATTTAATGCAACTGAAGTTTCAACATTATCAACACGAATATTGAAAGTTCATTCAATCATTTCAATATTAATTTTAATAACATCAGTCTTTTAAAACATAATCAATCGTTTTGATTGTTTATCATATAATTTGATATAAATTTGACTTTGCTCAAAATATATTATTATCATAAATATGCATATGTACACACGTTCTTTTTAAATACAATAGCATGTTATCGTACACAATACACGTCTGTATTCCT